GGTGATCTGCTCTCCTTGGCCTCCCAAAGTGCTGGGATCACAGGCATGAGCCACCGCAACCGGCCACAGAAACACAATTTTTAAAAGAATGAGATGAAAACATGGAAATTCTACATTTTTCACACTCAAGAGAGTGAGAAGAACATGATAGAGATTTGTGGGAAAGAATGGAGAGGAGGGAATCTCAAGACTGGGGTGGGGATAGGAAGTAAAAGGACAGCAAGGCAGGTACCTGGGCGCCCTTGCCATCTGCTCCCGTGAGGGGCCTCCAGTAGGGTTCCTCCAATGCCGCGCTGGTCAGAGTGGCTCCTTCAGGCTCCCATCCCTGCTGGCTTCAGCGACTTTGGCTCATGTATGAGTGAATGCAGCCGAAACTCCACCCAACACTGGGCGATGCTTTGAGTATCAGGTAACACGGAATGGCAGTAGCATCAGAAATGGGTATTTTCAGAAGATGACAGAGTCCCGGCTTCCTAAAAATCCACCAACCCCTAAAGGGAAAGTAATTTAATTTACCCTAATTTCCAACCCACAGGGCCAACCCCAAAGCCTACGTGAGGGACTATTGAACTTAGTTCCAATAAAGAGTCTCCGGCCCATCCATCCTGTAAGCTGTCTCAGCTCCCAGGTAGAGACACTGTACTGGATACTAGGATGTGGGTATTTGGGGTTTTCTTGTCCTGAAGTTCACAGCTTGCCTGATGCTAACAAGCCTGATAATCAAATAAAGAAGCGCTGACTGGGCGTGCTGGCTCACGCCTGTAATTCCAGCACTTTGGGAGACCAAGGTGGGCAGATCGCTTGAGGCCAGGAGTTAGAGACTATTCTGATGAACATGGTGAAATCCCGTCTCTATTAAAAATACAAAAAATTAGCTCAGCATGGTGGCGTGCACCTGTAGTTCTAGCTACTAGGGAGGCCAAGGCTCGAGAATCACTTGAACCCAAGAGGCAGAGGTTGCAGCAAACCAAGCTCACACCACTGCACTCCAGCCTCGGCGACAGAGTGAGAAGCACCTGGTGTTGTTGCCTAGGGATGCTCTTCCTGTCCTCCCGGGGTTTGTTCAAGACAGGAATAGGCTGTTTTCCCAACTGTGATAGGCAGGCTGCCCAGGCTGAGATTTGTGAGCCAGGCTTAGGCCAGGATCCTGGGGCTGAGGACACACCCGCGGGCGTATGAGGATAGCCTCCACTCCCGCCCTATTTGCAAGCTCAGATGTCTGTTCATTCCTAGAAAGCCACCAAGGCTCAACCGTAGTAGCTGTTGGGGTGTTTCCTGTTACTGGAAGGCAAGGGTGTCAAGACGTGGGTGGTGAGTAGAAGCCTGGTTAAGGAAACTGTAACAGACCCATATAAGAGAATGCACCCTAGTTTTAAAAAAAAAAAAAAAAAAAAGCAAGGCAACGCTGCATTTTTCTCCTATTTTTCTCCTTTTCTCTATGTTTTTTATGTTGAACATTCTCTAAGATATATATCACCGACACAGAGGGGGCAAGTCCCAGGTAGACCATATAGTATCGTTCCGTTTTTGAAACAAAACCAAACACCCGAAGCAGGGGAGTGTGAGGCCGACCCTCGGCCGGGGAGGCTGGACCCGGGCGCCCTGGCGGGTGTTGGCGCCTCATGGATCGGAATCCCAGTCCCGGAGGTTGGACTCTTCCTTCTTAAGACCCCCGGGTCCCAGGCATGGAGGAGGCCTCGGCGCTCCCCCGTGGAGGCCCTCGACCAGGCAGCCTCAGTTTCCCCACGGGCGGAAGCCGACTCCAGGCTAGGGTGCCCTCGCCGCGTGCTCCTAGCGGCGATTGCCCCCGCGCCCCGGGCCAGACAGGTGGGGCGCCGCGAGAAGGCTCAGCAAGCCGGAAGTTGCAATGGGGCAGCCGGACGGAAAACGCGGAGACACCGGCCGGGGTCGGCCGCGTTAGGGTGACCCTCCCCGCTCCGTGGAGCTGCCGATCGGGGACGCGGACCAGAGCGCGCAGGTGAGGGCGGCGGGGAGGTGGGGGCAGGGGAGGGGGCGGGGCCACGGGGATGCGGCCAATCAGCGGCGCCTCCCGTGGGCGAGGCGGGGCCGTTGCTTGGGCGACTCGCTCCAGCGTCTGTGTTCTGTGAACTGAGTCGCTGGGCGGTGCGGACCAGCTGGGCTGTGCGGACAGATGCACGTGGGGCTCCTGGGCCTCCTGCGGCCGCGTTGGTTTCGGGGACCGGGTAGCCTCCCCGCCTCCGGAGGCTCTCACGCCCTGGTGTCCGGTGGCCCTGGGAATTCTCATCTTTTAAAAATGCGTATTCCCTGGGTCCTATCTAACACTTCTGCTGGTTTCTTTTTCTCCTCTTTTAGAGTTAAATATTTCCTCTGCTCTTTTTTGTTGTTTGTTTTTTTGAGACGGAGTCTCGCACCGTCGCCCGGGCTGGACGTCATCTCGGCTCACTGCAACCTCCGCCTCCCAGGTTCAAGCCATTCTCTTGCCTCAGCCTCCCAAGTAGCTGGGATTACAGGCGCTCGCCACCACGCCCAGCTAATTTTTGTATTTTTAGTAGAGATGGCGTTTCACTGTGTTGGCCAGGCTGGTCTCAAACTCCTGACCTCGTGATCGCCCGCCTGGCTTCCCAAAGTGCTGGGATTACCGGTGTGAGTCACCGCGCCAGGACTGCTCTGCTCTTTATTATTCTCATTTTTCTTTACCTTGCTCAGTTCTCTTATTTTCCCCTATGGTCATCTCCTTCTTTCCTTCCTTCCTAAGGCAATCTACATCTCCCTGTCTCCAACCTGGCTTAGCCATCTTAATTAGTACCTATTATTTTTTTCTTACTTCAGATGGGTCTTTTTCCCCTATTTTTTATTATTCTTTAAGTCTTGACTTAACTGTCAGGTCGATCTCTGAGAGTAGATCATCATTTATTTACTAAAGGAGGAGTCCTCTCCTTACTCAGAGTCAGTGAAGCCGCCAGCTACAGGAGTTGGCATTTGTTCAGTATTTCCTATGCCCGAAGCTCTGCTAAGCAGCTTTGTGCATTATAGTCAATTTTTTTTTTGAGACGGAGTTTCACTCTTGTTGCCCAGGCTGGGGTACAGTGGCGTGATCTTGGCTCATCACAACCTCTGCCTCCCAGGTTCAAGCAATTCTCCTGCCTCAGCCTCCCAAGTAACTGGGATTACAGGCATGTGCCACCATGCCCGCCTAATTTTTGTAGTTTTAGTAGAGACAGGGTTTCTCCGTTTTGGTCAGGCTGGTCTCGAACTCCTGACCTCAAGTGATCCGCCCGCCTCAACCTCCCAAAGTGCTGGGATTACAGGCGTGAGCCACTGTGCCCGGCCCCAGTTATAGTCAATTCTTGAGCCCAGCCCCAGTTATAGTCAATTCTTGAGAGGTAAGTACGTCCCTGCACAGATGACCTGTGAGTTGAATGCAGACAGCAGGTGTGTTCTGCTGGACTTGTATGGAATTCTTAAATTTTAAAACTTTGTCATCGTCGGCCGTGTGCGGTGGCTCATGCCTGTAATCCCAGCACTTTGGGAGGCTGAGGCGGGCGGATCACAAGGTCAGGAGATCGAGACCATCCTGGCTAACACGGTGAAACCCCATCTCTACTAAAAATACAAAAATTAGCCGGGCGTGGTGGCTGGCGCCTGTAGTCCCAGCTACTCGGGAGGCTGAGGCAGGAGAATGGCGTGAACCTGGGAGGTGGAGCTTGCAGTGAGCCGAGATCATGCCACTGCACTCCAGCCTGGGCGACAGAGCAAAACTCCGTCTCTAAATGAATAAATAAAGAAATAAATCGATTTGGGGTCTCGTTACGTTGCTGAGGCTGGTTTGGAACTCCTGGGCTCAAGCCATCAGCTCATCTTGGCCTCCCAAAGTGCTGGAATTACAGGCACGAGGCATTGTACCCGGCCCCGTTTAAGTTTTTAATGTCTGCTCTGCTTACTGACTCACCTTGCCCTGACGCCTTTTGGAGCTCTTTTAGGGGCTGCTATTGCCACATGGAAACTGTGGTAACCCTCTCTCCTAGACCTGCCTAGATCCAAAAGCCAGCCTTGGAAGGAATACCTCTCATTCTCAAGAAGAAGTTAATGTCTGCCTTATAGTAGATGTCCAATAAATATTCTTTGAACAATTAAATAGATGCTCAGACTTCATTTGACCTAGTTTAGGTGATCCCATGGAGGGATCCAAACCTTTGGACTCCCCCAGTATCCCTAAAGTGTCCCCTTTTGCTGGTAGAGAAACTTCTGCCCAAGAGTCAGGACACATCGACACATCCACTTTTGGGGGGCTTGGTGCACTCCTGGGACTGTGTGGGGTGAAAGGGTCCCTTTCAGGAACAAATTCCCTGACCCTGGACACTCAGCTCTCCTCCTGGTTGGCAGAGTGAAGAGTGTCATCATTTCCAGGACTCCTCCCCACTTCAGCTTTCAGTTCATTGCTCACTCTGGCTTGAATACAGTACTGACTTGCTAAGTTGCATGTCTCTCTTCGCCTTGAGGATTGAAACACCTAGAAGCCGGGTGTGGTGGCTTGCACTTGTGGTCCCAGCTACTTAGCAGGCTAAGGCGAGAGAATCACTTGAGACCAGGAGTCTGAGACCAGCCTGGGTGATATAGCAAGACCACATCTCTAAAAAATCAAAAACAAAAACAGAACACCTGGCCAGGCACAGTGGCTCAGCCTATAATCCCAGCACTTTGGGAGGCCAAGGTGGGTAGATTGCTTGAGCCCAGGAGTTTGAGACCAGCCTGGCCAACATGGTGAAACCCTGTCTCTACTAAAAATACAAAAATTAGCTGGCCGCAGTGGCACACTCCTGTAATCCCAGCTACTCGGGAGGCTGAGGCAGGAGAATTGTTTGAACCTGGGAGGTGGAGGTTGCAACGAGCTGAGATGGTGCCATTGCACTCCAGCCTAGGTGACAGAGCGAGATTCTGTCTCAGAAAAACAAAAACAAAAACAAAACAACAACAAAATCCCAAAAACAGAACACCTGGAAAACACCAGACACAAACCACAGGAGTAATTTTTCTTTCATCAAATTGACAATAGCATCAATCAGAATCCCAGGACTCCTAAAACATGTTTAACTCCAAAAGCAGAGTTGCAAACTCAAATGCTATAGGGGCCAAGTAGGCACTGTGGCCACCTAGAAAGTGGACCCTGAAGGTGGGGAAGGCGGGTCCAGCATCGGTAAATGTTCTAATTTTTTTTAAAGAATCAATTTTATAGGCCGGGCATGGTGGCTCACGCCTGTAATCCCAGCACTTTCGGAGGCTGAGGTGGGCGGATCACCTGAGGTCAGGATTTTGAGACCAGCCTACCAATATGGAGAAACCCCATCTCCACTAAAAATACATAATTAGCCGGGTGTGGTGGCACATGCCTGTAATCCCAGGTACTCAGGAGGCGGAGGCAGGAGAATCGCTTGAACCCAGGAGGCAGAGGTTGGGGTGAGCTGAGATTGCGCCATTGTACTCCAGCCTGGGCAAGAAGAGTGAAACTCCGTCTGAAAAAAAAAAAAAAAAAGAATCAGTTTTATGAGTCTCAATTTTTAAGTGTTAGAAACTAAGTTAAAAAAAAAATTAGCTGGACGCGGTGGCTCACGCCTATAATCCCAGCATGTTGGGAAGCCGAGGCAGGTGGATAACTTGAGGTCAGGAGTTCAGGACCAGCCTAGCCAACATGGTGAAACCCCTGTCTCTACTAAAAATACAAAAATTAGCTGGCCGCAGTGGCACACTCCTGTAATCCCAGCTACTCGGGAGGCTGAGGCAGGAGAATGGCGTGAACCTGGGAGGTGGAGCTTGCAGTGAGCCAAGATTGTGCCACTGCACTCCATCCTGGGCGACAGAGCGAGACTCTGTCTCAAAAAAAAAAAAATTAGCCAGGCATGGTGGCAGGCGCCTGTGGCCCCAGCTACTTGGGAGGCTGAGGTCAATCACTTGAGCCCAGGAGGTTGAGGGTACAGTGAGCTGTGATCGTGCCACTGCACTTCAGCCTGGGTAACAGAGTGAGATCCTGTCTCAAATAACAAAATAAATAAACAAACCCTTGAGAGCCCACACAGCACATCACAAGCTGGTATAGAAGCAACTCTGTGCCTGTCTGACTGTGTGAAGCTGTGCATCTCAGGGGATTCTGGTGAGCCAAAGGCAGCAGGCATGGGAGCGTTTCCTAGGGAACCTTCCTGGAATCTGATTCCAGGACTAGGTCCCTGGCCCTTTTCCTGACACCCAGCCCCATGCCTGCCCAGCAGAAAGGGTTCCTTCCCCCAGAAAGTAAAGCACAGTCTCTGTCCTCTCCATTTCAGGCCTTACTTCTCAGGGTGTAAAGGGAAACGGTGCCTGAAAGGCAGAATCTGCAGCTGCCAGGCGTGTTTGAGAACTTAGGACCCCATTTATAGCAGGATCACACCCTCTATCCCCAAGCTGAAATGGGTCTGGAAGAATCAGATTTAACAACTTCTTCCCGAGGTGTGGGGCATCCGGGTTGGGGGGAGTCCCCAGCCTGTTTCCCACGTTCACTCAGGGAGAGAGTTCTGTGCCCGTCTTGGGGGGACCCAGAGGGCCCTTGACTAGCAGTCCTTAAATGAATTCAGGATCCCTCAGGAGACAACAACCTTCAGAAACCCCGAGTGCTAAAATAAATGGTCTTGCCCTCTCCACCCTGCAAAATGTCCTTCTTTCTACCTGTGAGGACGACTGCAGCGCTCTCTTTGAAATTTCAAATAACACAATCTTTCCACAAAATTTATCTTCCATTTTTCTGTTTTGGTGGCCCTGCCTTGCTGGCATCATGAACGCGGGCTGGGTAAAGCCATCCTCACGAGCTGGCATTGAGGCTCTGGGAGTCACCTCCAGGCCAAGAGCAGGTGCAACCCAGGCTCGGGACTCCAGACCCGGAACCCTCAAAACTGGGAACGCTGTAGGGCTGCGGCTGCATGGGGAATGGGATCTGGGAGGGACTTCCTGTTGTCCCTAATCCCAGTCTCCACCCGGCTCCCCCGCCCGCCCCGTGCAGGCTGTGGAGACTCCCTTCCCGGGGGAGGGGGCTCCCGCTGCTGCAGGTGCCCCCTCTGCCTCCACCCTGGTGAGAAGGGGGTGCTAGGGAGGGCATCTGGATCCTGAGACCGGCGCAGATGATCAGCTTGCAGGAGGGGATGGGGTCAAAGGTGGAAGGCTTCAAGCTGGCAGGAGAGAAGGGGGCCAGGACTGGGTATGGGAAGGAGAAGGACATTGTCTGCCAGGACTGAGAGGAGGATGGGCATTCCAGGCCTGGGGCAGGTGGCTGCAGCTGCAAGGGGGCTGCTGAGAGCGGGCAGGTTGATTTCTGAATTCCTGGTGGGGCTGGGAGTCAGGTAGGGACACGGTGCATGTCCTGGGGTCCGGGGACAGCAGGGCCTGGTTGCCCCTGGCCTTGACGGGCGGGGCCCCACCAGCACCTGTTTTGCAGGATCTCTGCAGAACTTTCTGCTCCTGATGACAGGAAATAGCAATTCCAATTTAGCCTCGGCTTTACCTGAGCCGGTTACGCTGAGATGCGAGGCTCTTGCTTCACCGATAAAGGGGACAATACAAAATAGCATTCTTTCAAAAATAGGACCCAGAAAACATCACAGAGAGTGGGACCATTGGATAGGGTATGGGAGACTTTCTTTCCGATTGGGACAGGGAGCGCTGGTCCTCGTGGGGATTTTCAGGGCTCTTTGGAGGTGTCCAGGAAGCGAGGGCTGGTTTCTCTCTGCTCTTCCAGGCTGCTGGCCAGAAGCTCGAGGGGGCTTGGACAAAAAGAGGCAGAAACAACTTAGCTGTTCTTTTTAGCTCGGAAATAGAAAATGTCTGCAGACGGTGGAGGCATCCAGGCCACCCAGGACAAGGAGACACCCCCGGAGGTACAGATGGGGCTGGGTGAGGGAGGCATGCGATGGAAGAGGCTGGTGCGGAGATTTTCAAGGCACGGAGTCTGGACCCCTGGAAGAGTTAGACTCACTGGGGTGGGGGGATCAAAGAAGAGGTGGCATGCTGGGTAGCACCCTCTGTCTGGAATTTACAGCATAACAGTTTTGTTTTGCTGGTGAATTCTCTAGTCAGTGGCCACAAGAGATGGCAGGGGTCCGGGTGGGGGTCCTGTCGGTGAGGTTTTCTTTCTGAGCAGTGCTCAGAGCACACAGGGAAACCTGTTCTCCTTCCCTGTGCTTCTCCATCTGTAACCACAGCTTCTCATCTCTCTGGGTCCGAGCTCCCGGTCCTTCCCCTTCCTTGTACCTGCTACCAGTGTGTGTGTGTAATTACTATTTGTGGGGGACCTGGGTCTTCGGGCTTGGAGTGGGAGGAGAGTGAGTCATCAACAAGCCAGGGGCCAGTCCCTGGCCTCTGGGAACCAGACCACATGCCTGCCATTCCCACCTGTCTCGCAGGGTCATGGGGAGGTTCTAAGGATAATAGGCATGAGACGTCATCATCTATGGTTTTCATACCACAGAAGCACAAAGAGTTGTTAGCATGGTTCAGTTTCCCATCCACTTCCCGTGTGCCTTCAACACCTTGTGTGTGTCAGTAGAGCCCCACACTTTGGCATTCTCTGCTGGCGCTGGCTTCTGTCTGGTGCGCACAGGGAGGGGAATAATGACCAGCACCGCCCTGTGTTTATCCAGGACTTTCCTGAGCCGGCAGCTCCTTCTCCATCATTATCTGTGTGAACCTCATGACCGCTCTGTGCAAGGGCAGAGCAGCTGCGTCCTGAAGGCTACCTGGTTGGGGAGGGGTGTCGCTGGGTCTGGCACCCAGGCACCCTGACTCATGGCCTGAGGTTCTTTCTCTTCAAGACCCAAACACAGACAGGGCATGCAGGAAGGGGTGTGAGTCCCCAGCAGAAGGCCAGCCAGTCCCTGTGCTGTGGATGAAGCCCCACCAGGGCCCTCCCTGACTTTTGAGCTATGTGGTCATGGGGTGTCTCATCCCCAGCCCTGGTGTGTTAGTCTCCCGTGGCTGCTGTAACAAGTTTCCACCCTCTCAGGGGCTGAAAACAACCAGAATTGGCTCTCTCACAGTTCTGGAGGACTGAAGTCCAAAATCTACGTGTTGGAAGGGTCACACTCCTTTTGAAAGCTCTAGACTAAGAGGATCCTCTCTTGCCTCTTCCAGCTCCTGGGGGCTCCTGGTGTCCTTGATGTGGGCATCCCTCCAGTCTCTGCTTCCTTCTCTGTGTCTCTGTGTCCTCTCGTATTCTTATAAGGACATAAGTCATTATTAGATTTTAGGTTCACTCTAAATCTATGATGATTTAATCTCAAGATCTTTAACTTACCTGTATAAAGACCCTTTTCCCCAATAAGGCCCCATTCTGAGGTTCAGGGAGGGCATGGATTCTTAGAGGACACTATTCAAGCCACTACACTTGTTTTCCTCGTACACTAATAAACAACAGTCTACACTGCTGAGGTCAGTGTGAGGCAGAGCTGAGAAGGGGTAGCTGCCCTCGGGCACCACGCCCACCGGCACTGTGGCAGCAGCTTGATGAATATTCCTCCTCTTGCCACCCATCCTTGCTGGGGTGAGCTCAATGGAGGCAGCAAGGACAGTCCTTCAAGCTGTGTCTTGCATGTTGGTGTCCAACCCTGCCGGAACGCCCTGGCATGCAGCTCTGGGTGTCTCTCCCACTCATCCGGGTGCTGATGAGGCTGTCCTCTCTAGATTCCAGATCGTGGACATTCTCATCAGGAAATGCTTTCTAAGCTGGGGGAGGCAGTGCCTTCAGGGGACGCTCAGGAGTCATTGCACATTAAGACGGAGCCAGAAGAGCTACACCCCGAGGGGGCATCGCAGGAGGATGGGGCTCAAGGTGCTTGGGGCTGGGCACCCCTAAGTCACGGCTCTAAGGAGAAAGCTCTCTTCCTGCCTGGCGGAGGTAGGAGAGGGATGGGGAAGAGGCGCTTTCCCAGGGAGGCAGCTATGGGGAGGTGGTGGCTCAGCCCAGGTCCAGGTGGGGCCGAGAGTCTCCATGCTGGCAAGGGACGTGTTCTCCCCATGGCAGCCTCAGAGCCATCTGACCTGTCCTTGGGTCGGGCCAGGGGCGGAGTTTGAGGCAGCTGGAGTAGCAGCAGGTCCAGCAGGATGAGTTGGTCACCCTGAGGACCCCTCTCCTTCCACAGCCCTCCCTTCCCCCCGGATCCCGGTGCTTTCCCGAGAGGGGAGGACCAGAGACCGGCAGATGGCCGCGGCACTCCTCACTGCCTGGTCCCAGGTGAGTGGCCTTTCCCCAACCCCTGCATGGTGCTCAGCCCTTCCTGCATCTGCTGGTTCTGTGTGCAAAGCCAGGACCCCGCGGGCCCCACTTGCAGCCAAGCCTGAAGCCTGGGGCTCTTGCTAGTGTTGCTGGAATTTTCCAGGCTCAAGGCCTATGGTCAGGCCTGGGCCAAGGCTGGAGGAGAAGCAGCAGGAATTAGAGACACAGGACCTCTTGTTGGGAGCCGTTTGGAGCCATCCTCTGAGGTCTGAGCTGAGGATGGGGGCTGCATGGACATCCTAAGTCTTAATTGTGGTCCCTGAAAATACCGCTTGGTCTTTGTTCTTTCTCAACGCCCCAGAAGGCCTTGGGTGGCTCACCTGCTTCCCCATCAGATGGAAGTGGCAGGCCTCACTAGAGACAGCGGGTTGGGAGTCCAGGGTCTCACCACACATCTCATGACACGGTGTCCCTCCACCCTGTCCACGGCATGTCCTGGAGAGTGGATGTTTCATATTGTTTCAGATGCCAGTGACTTTTGAGGATGTGGCCTTGTACCTCTCGCGGGAGGAGTGGGGTCGGCTGGACCACACGCAGCAGAACTTCTACAGGGATGTCCTGCAGAAGAGAAACGGGCTGTCATTGGGTAAGCACTCGCCTGGAGTGGGGACTGGTGTGTTAGGGAGGGGTCCTGCTCTGCCATCTCCTCTCTCCTCCCTTCCCTCCCTGTCCCTCCCACCCTTCTCCTTGTCCCTCGAGACACACTGTTCCATGGAAACTTCTATAATGATGGAAATGTTCTGTGTGTGCTAGGATGAGAGCCACAAGCCATGTGTGGCCGCTGAGCGCTTGAAATGTGGGTAGAGCCCTTGAGTTTTTAATTTTACTTGATTTTGTTTTGTTTTGTTTTGAGACGGAATCTTGCTTTGTCACCCTGGCCAGAGTGCAGTGGCGCGATCTCAGCTCACTGTAAGCGCCGCCTCCTGGGTTCACGCCATTTTCCTGCCTCAGCCTCCCAAGTAGCTGGGACTACAGGCGCCCGCCACCACGCCCGGCTAATTTTTTGTATTTTTAGTAGAGACGGGGTTTCACCGTGTTA